TACCTCTGAAAAAAATAGGGAAATGTTAAAATAAGTATAGACGAGTTAGCGTACAGTGCTTTATTAAAATCATACAATACTTACCCGAGGATAATTCTCCTCCACTCTGTCTCGAATGCTTTCCATTCGGTGTTGTTCACCTCCTTGAAAAAGTTCGAGTGCGTCCAATCGATGAACGTCCTCCTCTTGGCCTCAGCCATGAAGGGGGAAACAACATACTGTGACAGCACTCTCAACCTCTTGCCGACCACCTGCTCCGTCTCATCAATAGCATGTCTCTTACCCTCAATTACGACGGGCGTCCTCTCGACCTCTGGGGCCACCTCTTCCATCGCCACCTCATCCGCTCCTCCCATCGGGGCCACCCCCTCCATCGTCCCCTCTCCCATCCCCATCGAGGCCACCCTCTCCCCCTCCATAGACAATCACAATGATTCTAATGTCTCATCATGTCAAAAATGTGGGTGACCCCCCTCTCCATCACCATCTCTGCTATCCTCTCGATCATCATTTCCACCATCCCCTCTGTCCCTATCGCCTACCGGCTAAATCTCCTCTAAGTGCCGCTACAGTATCCTAAAGGTCGACAACGCAAGATCGTAGCATTCCAACATCATGGGATAGATCGTCAACCCTTCCTATCAACTCTGATCCCATATCGTCGACCCTCCCTGTTAGATAGTCGACCTTCCCTGTCAGATTGTCGACCCTCCCTGTCAACTCTCGTCCCAGATCATTGACCCTCTCCGTCAACTCTCGTCGAAGCACGCCAACCTCCTCTGTTATAAATCCAATCAGATGAGCATACAAATCATCACTGTGTGCCGGAGATACACGGGGGACATGTCTGGAGGAGGGAGAAGGAGATACCCTCGGCGGTGGCGATGCCCTCGATGGAGGTGATGCTAATGGCGACGACGATGCTCTCGGCAGAGGTGATGCCAATGGTGGCAGTGATACCCTTGGCGGAGGTAATTGTCGATCAGCTGGATAGCCTTCCTACATAAATAACATTAAAAATTATTCAATAAATTTATACGTCGACGATATTCAATAAATTATATTTAATTCACATACCCAATTTCGGTCTAGGCTCAGATCAGACATCTTCTCGTCTTGGGTGTGCGGAACGCCTAAATCCCGTACAAGACCTCGAGCCTCCTCTTCCATCGACGGCGTCAACTCAAGTATGACTTCAAACTGACATATTGACATTTCAACTAGTTAACGATCATGTAAACAGATTTTAAACTACGTATAATATAAATCACAAGTGCATAATACTTGTCTGAGGATCGTCGAGGAGGGTCGATAACTATTTTCCAGTGGGACATCCGTCAGCTCGCGACGATCTCCAATGATGCATCTGAGGGCATCGTGTCTCTCTTAGCTTCGCGAAGTGGGCCCCCAGTACAGGGACTGTCTCGTACACTCAAATTTGTAACACATACACTTATTATGCATAAATTTAATATACTAAAATTTTAACTTTAATTATATTAAACATTTACCTGCACCGCTAAGGGCAATTCATATGTATCGTATTTCCGCATTGACCCCCTAGGTCTCGAGTGTTATCTGGTGAAAATATGAACGGTTTCTTCGTAGCATCTCAGGTCCCATGGATAGTTGTTGAACGCATCGATGTCGTCAACAACTTCCAAATGAAAAATTTCGATGACAGTCTTCTTGTAATGACACCTCATCACACTCCCGAGGATGTTAACCAGCCCAAGCTTCAATCTATCTAGTATCTGGTCGCACCCTCTAATCGCGACCATCAACTCAGGTAGATGCACCGACCTATGTCCCTGGAAGTACGTCTTGTACAGCCTATTGCTTCTCTCAATGGCTGCATCGTCGCCCATAATCATCAGTCCAGCGATCAAGCTAAAGTCATACATCGAGAAATTGAGGACCTTGCCCCCGAGGTCGAAGTGGAGGGAATCGCTATCGATTGGCCTCAGAAGCCGACATAGAAGTGTATCGATGATCCGTCCTGAGTACTGCACCTCTCGCATCTAGTACATTAGATACAAGAAGGGCTATCGTAGTATATCTCCGTGATGATCATCGAGCAACTCCAACACAGCAGTAAAACTCTCAAAGCTACTGTTACAAGTAGCTTTTCCCGCCATCCGTCGCAACTCCCCATCTAAATGATACTCCACCCTACAAAATTCAAATGTTAGAACATTAAACAAGAGATAATAAAATAACGCATAATCTCAAAAAATGAATGGGAACTAAATTCTTGACGCTAATAACAAAATAAATTCAATACAAATGTAAAAAAATAATTAATTAAATTAAAATACAAATTAATGAGATTTTCAGCAAAATGAAATTATTAATATTTAAAGAATACAAAAAAGTTAAAAATTAAAGATTAAATATATTCTCAAAAAAATTAAAGAATATAAATATTATTTAAATAAATTTAAAAAAATTAAATAAATAGATAACATAATTATTATTTAATCAAATGAAAATTATAAAGAAAATTAATCTTGTATATTACATTTGGAAAATATATTTACAAAAAAAATTTAAAACTAAATAAATAACATGGAAAATAAATTGTTACTTTCATATAATATTCAATTATTAAATTATATAAATAAAAGACAATTAAAAATAAATAAATAAATAAATAACATAATTATTAATAAATTAATTATAAAATATATTTAAAAAATTAAAAAAATTAAAAAAAGATATTTTTAAAAAAAATTAAACTGTTAACAGTAGCCAAAGACTCGGGCCGACTGTTAACAGTCTTGCAGTTGGCCCAATTAATAAAAAAAATGAAATTTAAAAATTAAATAATTATTCAAAATTACAATGACAAGAATTAATGAAATTCGATTAACGAAAAGAATATTATTTATAAAAACCTATTAATAAAAATAAAAATGAAATAATTATTCAAAATTACAATGACAAGAATTAATGAAATTCGATTAACAAAAAGAATATTATTTATAAAAAAAGCTATTAATAAAACTAAATATGAAATTTAAATTTAAAATTAAAAGAGTTTTAAATATTACAATTTTAAAAATTAATTAAATTTGAGAATGAAAAATTATTATTTATCAAAAATGAGGAAATAAAAATAAATATTCAAATTAAAATTTAAATTAAATATCACATTTAAATTTTACAAATAAATAAATTATTATTTATTAAAAACTAATAATAGAGGTGGGCGTGGGTCGGTTCGGTTCGGTTCTCAACCAAAATTTTCGGGTATCTAGTAAATGAAACCGTCTGGTCCAAATATAATTATGGAACCGTTCGAGTTCGGTTCGGTTCCGTATTATAATTAAATTTTTCAACATTTATAACAATATTATATAAATACAACTAATGACACATTCAATGGTTTTGGAATGTCAAAGACTAGCAGAGTACCTTATTCAAATGATCGCTACGGTTAAAGTTTCGATCGGCGGAGATCACAGCTTTGATTGGAGGTCACAGTGTCAGCCAGCGATTGTATAGGTTTTGGAATGTTAGCGAGGCTGCGAGAGTCGAGACAGTGTTATACACTTTAGTGTAGGTATTTAGGGTTATTTAGAGGGTTGGATATTTGTTGGGCTAAGAAATGAAATAATAAAATGGGTAATTGGGCCAAAAATTAAAAAATTAGAAATGAAACAAATTATTGAGCCAAAAATTTAAATTTAGAAATTGTTAATTTGTTTTAAAAAAAAATAAAAATAAAATAATTTGATTTACTCAATATTAAAAAATTTAGAAAGATTCGGTTCTTCGTCTAGAATCGAGAACTGAACCATACCCGTTGGTTCTCAATTCAAATACTCATTCGGGTATTTAATTTGACAAGAATCGTCGGGTTTGGTTTGGTTCAATTTGGGTTGGGTTCGATTCGGGAGATTTGCCAAACCCTAACTAATAATTAAAATTATTTAAAATGGAATCCTTAAATATATGTAAGAAAAAATTAATAAAAAAATAAAGGCAGCGGGCCAACCGTAGCAGTCGGTACGCTTAACAGTTAATGAGCTGACTAAACAGTCAACCCAAATAATGGGCCGGCTGTTAATCAACCCAAATTAAAAAAAAAATTGTTATTGGGCCGACTTAACAGTCATGGGCTGGCTAACCCATGAAAAATAAAGTCATAGGCTGACTGTTAGTCGGCCCATGAGAGTCGAACACCCGAGGGCGCCCGACTGTTAACATCCCCAAAATGTTGGCTACAAACGTAGTCGGCATTTTTTTTTGGCTTTTCTCTTCGAAAAATCTCCATTTTAGACGAGAAAAGCTTGCAAATCTCAAAAGCCACATATTATTCTCCAATTTAGACCCATATTCATACTTCTACACCTACATAACCAAAATATTATATTCCAAAAATCTCCACAAATTCAACATTCACACACAATATGAAAATCTAATCATTAATCTAGTTAATTAATAACTCGAAGCTTACCTTAACAAGAAGAAGGTCGCTGGAGATGAACTGAAAACGTCTACCGACTAGAAACCGACCGTAGCTTTTCCTTGGTTTTGGCCGACTGTAAGCAAATGGGAAAATGACTGTCTGAGGATATTTTGGAATTTTGACCTTTAAAATCAATTTTCGTTTTTTCTCTAAAAACTGGTCAAATGTTACTTTGAAAATACACATGGATTATCGGGTCATTTTCAATGATTTCCTCCAAATAAAACTCTATCGTGAAATCATAATCATATAAGAATTTATCTATTCATTATTTTTGCAATGATGTTGGAAATATATTTATTTCTCATTTAATATATATTTTTGCACCTATTACAAAATTCTAGTAATTATAAAAAACGAAAATGAGGGGGGAAAGAAAAAGGTTCTATTCGAATTTGAAGCCAAGCCATCTGTGAATGTAACGAAATATTGCTTTGAAATTTCAATTTCAATTTGTATATTAAATAAAAAAATATGTTTGAAATTAACAATAAGTTAATTTTTCTTATAAATGTTCGAGTGAAAATTATTTTTTTTTTTTTTTTTTTTATCAGAGGTTGTTAACCATGCGCTAACCTACTCGGCTACTCCCACATCCCGTCATCCAATAGCCATAAAAAAGAAATAAAAATATAATTTTAAAAGAAAATCCGTCCCAAGTCTCTTTGCAGTTCGTCCTTTTCGAAACCTAATTCCCTTCTTCGCTCAGGTGCCCCTCTCAATCTCTGTATTTTACCTTCTAATTCTGATTTCAGTTTTAATTTCTGGTGTATATCGGTAGATGCAGTTTTGCGAAAACATGTGTAATTGGTTTGATGGCTGAATTTGAAATCTTTGGTGAATAGATTGGATTCAGTTTTTACTACTGGTAGATGTCATTGTGAAAATTACTTAAATTTTATCTACCTGGAAGATAGAAATCTTGGTTTAGTATTAGTGATTTTATTCGGGAAAGCTAATTCTCTCCTGTCTTCTTTGCTATATGAAAGTACATAGTTAAGTTCGTATGTATTTTAGCAGCAAATCAATGTTTCCATGAGCATTCGATTGGTTTATTTTTGCTTTCTAGATCATTGTTCCTTTGTTGGTATGTGTTTCGATTCTTTAGCTTTCTTTATTGCATATCAACTGTTTGATAGTTTTCCCCGTAGAAAATATTCACGTACGGATATTTATTTTTGCTGTTACATTATAAACTCAATATCACTGCTATTTATATTGGGTTTTCTTCCTTTCTTTTTTCACAAATTGAGATAGGGAGTACGAAGATCATAGATATGAGTGGCAACCTTAAGAGCATAAGGAATGTTCTGGCTGATGCAGCCGTAAAGGGTGTGGAATTGGCAAGGGCTCGGATATTTGGTCATGTGCTCAACCCAACTGGGCAGAGATCTCCCCACAAGATTCTGCGCAAGAAGCTTATCGGTGAGAAGGTGGCCTCATGGTACCCTTACGACATTAAGAAAGATGACCCCCTCGTCATGGCCCGTCAAGAACAAGAGTAAAAAATTTCCTAACTCTAACTACTATCCACTATTTATTGTGCATGCTCCTTTATGTATTTGTTAACATGGTAAAGGATGTTACGGTTTTGTATTATAATGTGAATATTTCAAGTATTATGGGAGAAAATCATTGTGTTTTGAAGACTAATTAAAAAAGTTTTAGATGCTACTCTCATGTGCAAGCTGTTAGTTTTTTAAATCTGAGATAGGAAGGCAGAGGAAAGAATGAATCGTACAGAATTTTTCATGGACCTTCAACGTCAAATCTATTATTCATAAGAGGGAATTGTAAAAAGATTGGTTGGTGGACCCTTTGCACTTTGTACCTTCCGTGGATTATATGTTTCATAAACTTCCATCATGCTTGAAGATATTTCTGGATGACTG